CCCTCTCAAGTTCTAGGGTCCTCAATAAAGAACATAGCCAGTCTCATTCTGCCAATAAAACAAAGGAATCATCTACTGCATATACGGATGGAATCATTAATGAGATAAGGAATTTGGTCAGTGACATTGCCTCAGAAAAAAGTCGGAAAACTAAAATTAAAGAAGCCCAAGAAAGCATTCTTCAGGAGATCGAGAAGCTTGCTGCAGAAGCCTATAGTATCTTTAGGAGCGCCATACCCACATTTACAGAAGAGGAAGTCTCAGAAGCAGAGGTATTAAAACCGTCTGTCAAAATAGCTTCTGGGACTGGTTCTGGTTTTGAAGTTGTATGTCAAGGATTTAACTGGGAGTCACATAAATCTGGAAGATGGTATATGGAGCTTCATCAAAAAGCTGCTGAGTTATCATCACTTGGTTTTACTGTTGTCTGGTTACCTCCGCCCACAGAGTCTGTTTCACCTGAAGGCTACATGCCAAAGGATTTGTACAATCTGAACTCCAGGTAAGAACAGTTGTGTTGGAAAACTAATATAGGTACTAAGATTAGATTAGTTTCCTGGAATCCTGAATTTGGACATGCTTATGTAGTTTTCCTGTTCAGATAATTTACCATATGTAGAATGTAGGACTGAACTCTGACTTTAGACCTAAATGTGCAAACTTCATTAATACTGTTTGCACCTACTTCAATCCTATGAACTAACATAATCATGAAAACCATGGCCTTCTTAATAGTACAATCTGCTGTAGTCTTCTTCATGGATTTGAGTTGAAAATGGGTAGCTAAATAAAATCTATTGGGGTAGCTGACACCTGTCTACTTTCAGAAGTAGGCTATTCATTCTTCTTTTCATGCCTGTCTCCCAATTCTTTATGCTACTGGGCAGATGTTAATTAAATTTTTTATATTCTCTTGTAATTTCTTTTTTATCTCTAGGTAAAGTTATAATTTGTTTATTTGATTAGAATAACTAAACTAAGGGAACAAATAAATCTGATTACTTGAAATTGCTCTGATTATTGGAATAAATGCTGATCAACGAATAACTACTGAAATTGTTATACCACATCTTCTTGCAGCACTCTCCCTCTGTCTGTCTGCCTCTGTGGTTGATGTTTTTAACTTCTTGATCATTTTCAGATATGGAAGTATTGATGAATTGAAGTCTCTCGTGAAGAGATTCCATGAAGTTGGCATCATGGTCCTCGGAGATGCTGTGCTAAACCATAGATGTGCCCATTACAAAAATCAGAATGGTATTTGGAATATTTTTGGTGGCCGTTTGAATTGGGATGATCGTGCAGTAGTTGCTGATGATCCACATTTTCAGGTACTTGCTTGTGCCTAGTTACAGATTTTAACATTCACGGTTGAACTAGTAGCTTGTTGGTATCGGAACAAGTGGCAGATTTTATCAGGATAGTTGGGCGTAAAACATTATTGTCATTCCTTTAATACAACATTCAACAGTGTGTAGATAAATTTGCATAAACTCTGGGCTGCAGATTAAACCTGATAAAAAAGAGTAAATAAGACAGTATACTGGTATACTCGTTGAAAAAATACAGAAACTTAGGGAAATGTGATTCTTGTCATTTCCTTTTGCTTCAATTTGTTGTCTTTAATGTACTCTTTCTGAGTTTCCCATAGCTAGGACGGATTTCTATGGCAAAACATTAACTTAATCCTGCTTATTTTGGTTGTCAAGATTTAGTGCTTTGTGGTTGGCTTTACTTACAGTTGTGTGCTGCATTTGGAAACAGCAACTGCAATCCTTCTACTTTTTATGAAGTGTACTTGTTGTGTGGTACCTAGATTATTTTCCATTATATAATTACAGGCAAATGCTCGTATCTCCACTCTCTGGACAAATCGATTTTGAGACTATTGGTGTTTCTTCTGATTTGAGCAGTATCTTCTACTTTTGGTGTTTCTTCTGGATTTCCCACTGTGTGATTCTAAAAACGTGGCGGTTCAAACAATTTATTTTACTGTATCTTTTTCCTCACAGGGAAGAGGCAATAAAAGTAGTGGGGATAATTTCCATGCTGCACCTAATATCGATCATTCACAAGAATTCGTGAGAAAGGACCTCAAAGAATGGTTATGTTGGCTAAGGTCATTTCTTGGCATTGCTCTGTGTCAAGTGCTTGTTTAATTCTTTGTTTGGTAGTGGGTTCAGTAATACATCTGGATCTTTCATCAGGTTATTTGATGATTTGAAATACAATTCCAGGTTTTTACTTACCTGGGACTAACTTCTGGGTCTTTTGGAATTTGTGAACTTGCAGGCAAGAGATTGGATATGATGGGTGGAGGCTTGATTTTGTTCGAGGTTTTTGGGGTGGTTATGTCAAGGATTACATTGATGCTAGTGAGCCTTACTTTGCTGTGGGCGAGTACTGGGATTCTCTTAATTATACATATGGGGAAATGGATCACAATCAAGATGCACATAGGCAGCGAATTGTTGACTGGATTAATGCTACTAATGGATGTGCTGGTGCATTTGATGTTACCACAAAAGGGATTCTTCATTCTGTAAGCATCTACTTCGCAGAGTCTGCATTAACCATCATAACATCTTAGAACCTTTCTCTTCTACTTAGTGCATGGTTTCATTTGCTTTGGGAGCAGTTTCGTGTCTTAGTTGTTTTTGATCTGCAACTTTTAGGCACTTGAAAGGTATGAATATTGGCGATTATCTGACGAGAAAGGGAAACCTCCTGGAGTTGTTGGTTGGTGGCCATCTCGTGCGGTTACTTTTATAGAGAACCATGATACTGGTTCTACTCAGGTATATAGTACTGAGAGTTTATTGCTCTGGTGTATCTTTCTGGGCCCTGGCTCAGTTCCATGAACTCAAGCTTTTCAATACAAAAATAATAGCACATTCACAGTGTCTCTTAATGGACTTCCTCTTATTTTACTTACCTCATTCAATGAAATAAACTGGCCTTTTGACACATTTCTCTCTTTTCATGATGGAAGAGAAGCTCTCAAGTAGTAGTGTATCATATGTTTGTATGTCCTTTCTTTGACATAGCAACTTGTTTTTTTTAAGGATTGGTCACATCATTAGCTTTTCAATAATGTTTAAACAGAACTTGTTTGACATTTTTAAATAGCTGTCATTAACTGTTATGATGAGTAATGACATCTAATCTACTTTTCAACTTGTTTGCTTGCTGTTTTCCTTTCAATCCATCTATTAGGGTCATTGGAGATTTCCAGGTGGAAAGGAGATGCAGGGATATGCTTACATCCTCACTCACCCAGGAACACCGACTGTATTTTATGATCACATTTTTTCCGACTACCAGTCCGAACTGTCAAAACTAATCTCCGTGAGAACCCGGAACAAGATCCACTGCAGAAGCATAGTAAGTTATGATGTTAATTTAATCACTGCAGTAATTTCCTGTTGTCTGAAAAAAGCATGTCAAAATGAAAAATGGTTCCTACAGAACATAAGTCAATCGGGACTATTAATCTCTTGATACTGTGGAAGATTGCAAATGCAGAATCTAAGACCTTTATCTTTCTACTTTTGTCTTGGATTTACAACCAATCATTAGCTTCATGGATCCTTTGAACTGGTATATTTCTTAAATCGTGCAGTTTCCTACTATTTCTACTGATCCTGTTCGTTGTCCTTTATTAAATACTTCTCTGTACTTTTTGGCTGGTTGAGTATTGAATTTAATTGCTACATGAAGTTAAAAGGAAATTGTTCAATATCATTGGAAGCAATTGTCTGGTATCCAGATTCTCATGTTAGATGTTACAAGGTCATCTCTTAACAGTTTTGTCTAAATCTGATGACCTGTTTGGAGAATGCCTTTGCCCTTAAATTCAGGTGACAAGGTTTATTCTTGTGGAAATATTGTCCTCTTTTTTCTTGTACAGCCATCGGTCAGTCACATTTTCGTAAAAACAAGGGACAGGGGAATTGTCAGTAGACTGCTAGGGGAAATATATTCTCTTGGCCACGCTAGGATTTATCGTTGTCCCTTTCTTTTATCTTGTATTCAGGTTAAAGTAATGAAGGCAGAAAGGGATGTTTATGCGGCAATTATTGATGAGAAGGTGGCCATGAAAATTGGACCGGGTTACTATGAGCCTCAAACTGGTCCTCAAAAATGGTCCTTAGCTACTGAGGGCAAGGATTACAAAGTGTGGGAAGCATCGTGATAGAGATACGGCTGCTCAAATTGAGACTAAAAGTATATATTATAGGAAGCATGTTTTCAAAATCTGCTAAGAGTCACTGCAAATTTTTTTACAAATTTAAAAGGAGGTGAATTTGGACGGGTGCTAGTCCGAAGCCCTTTGTTATCTTACGGACATTGTGTGTACCCCAAAACACAGAATGGACGGGGAGCCAATTGGCATTTCGATGCAGCAAAGACTGTGTAAAGGGTCAGTATGGCAACTTAATTGGCTTGTGTTCATCTGCGGAACAGGATGCAGGTAAGTGTGGCTACCGAATATGTAATTTGGCAGACATATTTGTAGTCTTTATTTCATACCTCAAAGCTCAGCGATTATGGCGTGCGCCGCTATTTTTTCAATTGGAAAGATTTCGATGTTTTCATTCTCCTGATGAAGCACGAGGAATCAGGGTATAATGTATTATAATTCCCAAGATTAAGGATGTAAAAACTACTAGTTGCCATGATATATATAATCATCTGTTATTGCACACGTACTGGCCCCCTGGCTCTGTTTTCAAGTCAAGAGTTGAAAGAATAAACCAGATTTCTTTTTTTTTTTTTTTTTGTATGGTCTTTTCCAACAAACAATATAACATTAAGTGCAGATGCTAGTTGAAAGCAACTTTTTCCTGCACTGTCCATGTTAAATCTTTTACGTGCAACTTCTTCTGGACGGCCCCTGAATAATTTTACTGAAGAACGCAACAAAGCTAACTTGAATACATATGCTCTCAGCATAACAAGTGACAGCTAAATATCAAGGCCATTGAGTGCAATTGTTTGTAGGAAGGATATTATCCCCGATCTATTTCGATGTATATACTCTAAAAGGACCATTAGCAGCTCTCGTACAAACTTCGAAACAGAAGTACATTTGAACAAATTAGGCATCCAGCCAGCGCACCTAACAATTTGCCTGACTTCGTAAATTAAGGAGGTCAAATGCGATCACGGCTTATGCGTACACAACGATTGGACTTCTGGCGGTCACAGTAAAGGATTTTCTTTGGTTCAACGCCTTTAAACCATAGAATTTTAGGCTTCACAGAGATATTGTACAGAGAAGCCTTAGTAACAACTGCTTTATGTGATGAGCTGGGAGACCAACATTAGTAACTGTTCTTCGAAATGTAACTATAAACTCTCTCTGTTTTTGAACCCAGGCAGTCATCGTTGGATAATTTAGATCCTTGAGACTCTATTGCTGCTACTTTCATGCAGGTGCTATTGTCTGCAAATACCCTTTTTCGCGTCGATGGATCAATTTCCAAGCCGCAAATCAACTTAATATGATCTGCCATGCACAAGTCGAGGATGTGAGGCTTTTACTGGATTTAGATGACCTGCCCCGTAAGAGAATTCAGCATCTTGATGAACAGCATCGGTTGCATTCATCTGCCAAGGAGCTTCAAAAGTTCTGTTTCCATCATTCCACGATCCCCTTTACCCCATCAAAAAGATCGAAAAATGAAATGTAGGAATTGAGGAACTTTTGACATGAGAATGTTGAATGTGCTAGAACAAGCGCCCTTTGAAAGAGTCTTACCAATAGTCATAAGAGTAGATTTGATTGCTGACGGAGACCAATGGGGATGAAGTGACTTGACACAAGCAGCTGCTGCTGAAACATGAGGACAAGCCATGGATTTTTATGTACTTACAACATGGTGGAGTTGATATAGCTTTCAGATAAATTAAACTGTCGAAGACTTAAACTCGATGCAGCACCAGGGACAACCAAGGAGACATCATTCAATGCACCTGAAAGGACAATTGACCCAAGGGCACCAACACTTTTAGCTGTAATAATTCCAAGACCACAGTCGCAAACTACAATCTTTCCCTTCACGAGATCATTGTCCAGACACCCAGGAAAACAGGACCTGACGTGGAAAATCAAGGTCCTTATCTTTTAATGTATAGCCAGAAATCACAATTAATCAAGGTCCTTATCTCCAAAAATTGTCTATATTCATTTGCCTACCAAAATTGGAAAAAAAAAAAAATCAATTGTACAAACTTAATTTGTCAATTAGAGTAAATGGGTACACCTTCCATTCGTCCAAAAACGAAGCGGTATTCCTTCAAGATAAAATTCTGACCGTTTGAAGATGATAGAAACCAAAAGGGCTACGGATATTCGACTTCATTCTCATCTTGAGGACATCTACGATTTAAGCTCAATGTTTATGGAATGCTCATTTGTTTTAGCTAGGGAGGAAGTGAGGAATAGCTTAGCTAACCTCAGTTTTTATGCGCTAAGCATATATCTTGATGAGGAATGGTTAAATCCTCAGTGTCGCAGACACTTGTATAGTGCAGCTTGAGCCTTTGCTCATTAAGTGTAAATTTTTACACAAGTTAATATAATTAATTATCGTTTTCGGGGAAAAAAAAAAAGTAGCAAGATGCACGCACACATTAAATTAGTAGCGGTTAGGGGTGTTCAAATTTCGGAAAAATTGAAAAAATCGGCCATTTGGTGAAATCGAAGCATACCCAATTTTAATGTTTGGTAAAACGGTTCGAAATGGATATAAAAAATATATTATTGAATTACTGATAATCGGTTGAATTTCTGAAATTTTTACAATACATATTAAATTTTTACAATATACATTAGTTATATCCATACTAATTAGTAAATTGCAACTAATAATTAATTTTTTATAAGTAAGAGATTTTAAATTTTGGACATCTTACTTACAAGCCCTCCTAAATTCCCAACCAATGCAACCCTTCCCCAACTAATAACTACTCCCTCCGTCCCACTTTGATAGTCCTGTTTTTCTTTTTCGTCTGTCCCAAATTGTAGTTCACTTTTCAATTGAAGAATGTAGTTGTATTTTAATTTTTCTAAAATACCCTTATTTAATGTAAGTTGTTGTTACTATAAATCTACCTTATTTAATGAAAGTTGATTCTGTTTTTACTATCAATTCAAGTTCCCATAAAATTGTACTCTATTTAATGTGAGGGTATTTTAGGAAAATAACAATTTAAATTTACTTTTTTAATAAAATTAACTATTTTTTTTAAACTGTGTGAAAAAAGAAACAGAACTATTAAAGTGGGACGACGAAGGGAATACTTAACCACTACACGTTACTACTGACAAACTTAATGATTAGTTTGACTACTGACCAGTTGACTGCTGTGTACTAACCACTAACGACTTGGTAATTAGTGTGTTTGTTGCTTAAGACCAGCTCGACTTCATGAGAATTTTGAGACTCCGGACGATTGGAAAAAATATATAAAATATTATTTTGGTTTGATAATTTTTTTTTAGAGAAAATTGAAATAATTTTATCTTACTATTAGCATTTTGGATTCCGGATATTACCAAATGACTTGTTGATCTTCAGCCGAAACCCAATTACCAATATCCAATTTATCAACCTAAAAATTAGATAGTAATCGAATATTGGCCTCAACAAACCAATTACTGAATCCCCGAAATCGTTTTTACTGAATTTCAGATTACTAGTTGATGAACACCCCTAGTTATTGTTTAATTACTTGACAGATTGAGATTAAGATTGAAGGTTAGAATTGCAATTGAAATTCTAATAAAAATATTGGTTGTAGAGTGGATTTCACTAATTAAAAAAAGAAAATAATAAATGGTTGCATATGAATATATTGTAATCCAGGCCTAGAAAAGTTATTCAATTTTACAAACGCTTTTTTATTCGTTTAACACAATTCATTCGTATCACAGAATTAATTGTTGTTTTCAAATAAGGACTTTTTTTTTTCTCTAAAGCCATCGAAAATCGAATAAATTGAAACTTTATGATCCCATATTACTAAGCATAGGTTCACGAAAAGACTTTACTGGCCTGCTTCAAATATTTTTCCATTAATTTTTTTAGTTTGAGGAAAAATTTTGCTACATGCTTTGTTTGGATTGTGAATTATTTGCCAAATTATATCTGCTTACATCATCATTACAATTTCCAACGTACCTTTTTATTTTTCCAATTACCTTTTTATCTCATATATATCACATCACAAAAAGTGTTACAGTAAAAATATCTCAAATAATTCACAATCCAAACAAACCAACGTGTTTTTTTTTTTTTGGTTAAATGCTATAATAGTTACAATAGTTTATGAAACCTCATCTTCTTTCTTGGTTAAGCATACATTGTCTCTTGGTTGATGGATCCTTAGGTCCTCTGATGAGCCAAAAAAGTAATGATGGTATTTGATTTCTGATATATTCCCGTTGCTCTTTTCAATTTCTCCACAAAAGTCGTCATCCACTTTGCAAAATGCGTATTTTTTTCCCCTCAATGTGATTCATTAACTTTTCAATAATTTCGTTGAGTTAGAATTCAAATCGCCACATAGCTCGGATTATAAATCTAATTAATGAATCATGAATATAAGGACAGATATAATACTTCCTGCTGGCACGCTAATCAAATAATTTGCTTGATTCGGTGAATTTAATGACATTATACAAATTATGTGTATATAATGATTGGACTTCGGACATTATGCAAACCATCAAACCACACAAGTGAAGCAGATATCAACGGCGGTGTCGCCCTTCCACCGGTGACCGTCACAACAAATGATCTTTTCTCGTTCACCGCCGTGAATGATAGGATGTTAGGCTCCACAGAAATATTCACCTGAGAAGGCCTGCTAGTGATTGTGGCTCTGTATGTTGAATTGGGAAGACCAACATTTGTGACCGTTCTTGAAAAAGTAGCTGTAAATCTCTCGCCATTTTCGACTTTTGCAGTCATTGCTGGGTAATTAAGATCCTTGGGTTGTGTTGGAACCACATTAGTGCATGAGGTATTATCAGCAAATATTTGTGCCAGTGCTTTTGGATCAAGTTTCAAGCCACAGAGCAATTTGATGTAATCTGATCTTAATATCTCGTACACGAGTCCGGGATCTGCCGCTTTTACTGGGTCAAGATGTCCTGCTCCGTAAGAAAACTCCGCATCTCCATGACTAGCATTTGTTGCATTCAGCTGCCAAGCTAGGAGCAAATAGAATTTTTCATCATTCATAAAATATGTCATCAAGAACAACCGAAAAACAGCACGAGTTTCTAAAGGATAAAGAAGACGAAAGGAAACATAAATATGTAGCAATCGTGCGACTGTTACCAGTGGTCATAAGAGCAGATTTGATTGCTGAGGGAGACCAACGAGGGTTTAATGATTTCACATAAGCAGCTGCACCTGCTACGTGAGGACATGCCATGGACGTTCCAGATAGTATGTTGTATTCTACAGATCTTGCATCCTGATGAGAGATTTCTGATGGGGATGCAGCAGGAGAATAAGCAGCCAGAATGTCAACTCCTGGTGCACTTATGTCCGGCTGTATAATCAAGCAGCCTCATGGTAATTGGTAAGTATGTAAAAGTTTTTATATGAACTAACAATAGCAAAAGGCACTGCCAAATGTGGGCTAGAATACCTACCTTCAGAATATCCGGGAAAATAGTGTTTGGCCCTCTGGATGAGAATGATGCAACTACCGGAGCACTTGAGTCTGTTATATTCTCGCTTGGATATATGTATGCTTGAGGTACTCTGTATACAAATAAGGATACCAAATGCAATGCAATGAAAGTTAAAATGGTACTTGGTACAACCCAATATACAAGATTATGGATAGCTCGTGACTAACTTTGTGGAGTTGATGTAGCTTTCGACCAGATCAAACTGTTGAGGGCTCAACGTTGATGCAGCAGAAGGAAAAACAAAAGAAACGTCATAGATTTCACCTGAACGGAAAATTGATCCAACGCTGCCAGCCCTTTTAACTTCAGCGAGGTTGCTGCTGCTAAAAGTGTCATCACAAAGTACAATTTTTCCTTCAACTAGCCTTCTGTCTAGGCAGCCTCCATAACAACGCCTACAATGGAATATATAGTTAGATATTATGTTCCACTTTGCGCTGAAAAAGTCGTGACCAGCGCCAAGGATAAATGGCTAGATAGAAACGGAACTTACTTAGCTTCCGCCTCGCCACACTGTATTGAAGCATCCTTTCCATATACAAGAGGGTAATTTTTCGTGCTATTCAACTTGAAGGAGTTAATGGCATTTCCCTGTTACATGTGAAGTCAAAAGATGAGCAAGTTCATGAAACAAAGGAATTGATATAACCTTTAGTCAAATATGCTGTTAATAAGTGACTATACAGAAGCTGAGAAAATTAAGTATTGCAAAATCTATAGCAACTAGTAAATGCGAGAAAAACTGAATTGATTAAACATACAAAAATCTCGGTTCCATTTCCAATGGCAATTTTGCTGACGAGCTTGCGATTTGTAGTGCTTGCTGCAACTGTGAATAACCATGGCGCAGTACTGACGACTCGTCCTGTTAAAGAACCATCATTTCCTGCTGACTGAACTGTGAGTACACCTTTGCCGATCCCATGAAAAGAGCCGATAGCTATGGAGTCATATTGCAAGCCAACTGGAGACCGTAGTCCAAGTGAAACCGTAATAATGTCAACTCCATCAGCTATAGCATCATCAAAACCAGCTAATATATCTTCATCTGTGCATCCCGTATCACTACACACTTTGTATGCAGAAATTCTTGCAGATGGAACCCCGCCTCGTGCGATACCTTGTGCAATTCCATAAAAACTCGCATTTTCCACTTCGTTTCCAGCTGCTGTTGAAGCAGTATGACTTCCATGTCCATCTAGATCTCTTGCCGAATCATCTCCTCTGACATAGTACCGCGCTCCCACGATTTTGCTTAAGAAGTAACCATGTTTTCCAATAAGCATAGATTAGTGTACAACTGAAAATTCATGACATATTTTAACAAAAAAAAAATACACCTACA